ATGATGTTGGAAATGAATCTTTTGGCAGTCAAAATGTGCAGTGGGCACATGGAAAAGATGGTGAAGATAGAGTACATATCGTGATTTTTGAGGAACCTGGATGTGTTTTCGAACTTGGCGGTATTCAACGAAAGATTGAAAGGTTCGTTGAAGGTCACTGGTGCTTTTGGAGCCGGTTTCCTCAAAGAGGTAGAATTGATTTTTAGCTTGTTACGTTGCACATGCAGGCACAATCGAATTACTCAAAAGGTATAAAAGTCCGACACCAAGTCATAGTAATATCCTGGATGGTGCTCCCGAGGTTCCGCCAGCTCCTCAACGACAACATTTAGATCATAGTAGTGGCCCCATTTTAATTGACAACATTTAGATCATAGTAGTGGCCCCATTTTAATTGAATCAAGTTTTATTTTGCCAATTATATAGGGTTTATTTTGGCATCGCTATTTGTATATGTACCATTAGTACTTAATATGTGCAATTGTAAAATGAATTTTGCTTTTTTGATTTACAAGTCAATTTCTTATTTTACTGTCTTATTTTACTTTCCCCCCTTCAATCCAATTCACAACTTATTCTTTGGAGATGTCGTGTATGTAATCTTATGTAATCTTATATTGAGACTGAAACATGCACATTAACAACTCAAAGCAAAATTAAGGCAACCATTCCGATAATACACATTAATGCTTACGCAAAGTACGTCGCAAAAAAAATATATATATTACAAAATACTCGTCCGCAATCAAAGAGAATACAAAATGTCATGCGACATTGATACATAACTAGTACTACAACCTAAGTAACTAATTCTTCGTCGTTATTCAGACGCACTTGAGATTCGAACATTGGTTACCACATTATTGTCTTTGTTGAAATCAATCCCTCTTGAAGCAACATCAGTGGCGAACAAAACTGAAGCCTTCTCACAAAATTGAGAGTATATCACTGCCCGTTTCTCCTTGACTCATCCTTCCATAAATACATTTCAAAGGGATTCCGACCACAATTTCTTAAGTACTTCAAAA